TATTTCTCGTTGTTCGCTTTGTGTTGCCGCAGTATTCGCCACAATATCTTCTTGCGAGATTTTTTATAATTTTGTACAAATTCGCCAAAAATCGCGTCACACGACAACATTGATTTGTTTGACAGCACTTTCAGTAAATATTCAAAACTGCCGTCTGTTCTTGGTCCTATGTACTTCGATTAAGAAATTTTAATAGCACCGACCATTCCATTTACCGACCGTTTTAAAAGAGTAAAAGTAACCACCAGGTCAAATAGGTTATATACGGCAACCCTATTTTATTTAATTGACAACTCTCTCCTCTCCTTCTCTGTCAATTCACTTGACGATGACATTCGTAAATATTTATCAGCTGTCACGAAAAAAAAGTAAATGTGCTTTGCGCTTCGGCTGTGTTTTTCCGTTGTTTTTCCCGGGAAGAAGTTTCAAAATTGTGAAAAATTTTAGTAATTTCTATTTCGAACTACAATGACTTTTGAACAAACCACAATACAACACACAATCGATGGAAACGTCTGTCGATTACAAATTGTGGCGATAGTCCAAAAACGCGCTGTTATTGGCGAGGGAGATGGCGACGCCAAACGATGCATCTCGGCAAATCGACGCAATTGTGACATTTTCGTAGAGGATCACAACTTTTATATTTATGCAGATACGCGTCTGCACCGGTATGCTTTCATTTTAATAATTGCATTGCACTAGTGTTATATGCATTTTTGTTTTCTAGTTTCTATTTATCGGAGCGACAATTCGATACCAAAGATATGAAAAATCTGATAATCAATTTCAATACCAAAACGGGTAGCTACGAAGTCAATTTGCCCTGCTTACCACGTAACAATGAAGAGCAAAAAGCGCTTCCAGAAAAAAGTGATATGGAGAAAAAGATATCGGATAACGCGCTATTTCCCGCAATCGAGTTGTGGAAATTAAAACGCATTACAGATAGCTGCCAACTACAAATCGACAATGGTGGTGAACTATTAAAATTTGAAGCAGATTTTGGTTATGGTTTTGCAGGAAGATTCAAAAAGAATCTGATTGGAGTTGTAAGTTGCATTTAAAAATTATTACTTACCTTTTAATAAGTTGTGTCTTCGATGCAGGATGACATGTCTGCTGTAGCGCGTATGCCCGAACCGCATACGGTTAGTCCTCTGCAACGTACCATAGATCGCGAAATAGACGAACTTAAGAATTTCTCACGGGACCAGTACAAATTGAATTTTGTTGAGTTGCAGGTGCCCGAAGGACATGAGAATCCAATGAAATATATCAACAACTTCGGAGGTATTTCATATTTTTAGCATATAAACGTATGCGTAACTTGTTCACATATTATTCTCAAATTAAATTAGCTTTTTTTAATGCTTGTCTGCTACATATATACTAAGTTTTTTCTTCTAAATGCTAACCTGGCTTTTTTAGATTCCATATTAACCCGCGACGAAGAGTGTCTGCTGCACAATTTGACCCGGAAGTCACAAGAACATACACTGTCCTATAACTACGAACAGACTGAGGTCGACTGTGGCCTTATAAGCATACTATTGGCCATTTGCTATGACATACGGTAAGCTCATATTTTATGAAGTACTTAGTGTGTGAATTTTCAATATCGCTTCCCATTTACAGTTGCACATCAAATGAGCCAACCTGCGAGAGTGCTTGGACACGTAACATACTCTCAGCTACGCTCAGCTACTTTGAACCTTTCGAAAGCATCAAAGATGTTGTAGTTAGTTTCCTGCGACGTTCGCTCATTTATCCACTCTATCGGAATTATGATTTAGGGCGCATATGCGTGCAGGACGCAATTGATGGTTTGCAAAAAAATCCAGCGTGGGTATTGAAACAGTTGTTGCAAACACATGCAATTTTCGCCAGCAGCGATTGCTATCAAGAAATTTTCAATCGCTACTATATTGAGGATTATATACGGTATGTCGCGGATAATAATAGCAGTGGACAGATGCATTTACGATTGCTGGCGCGCAACTTGAAAAACGTCCTACTAGATGTTTGCAAGAAGCATTTACGTTTAGATTTGGGAGAAATTGAGACTGAGTTGTTGAAGGAATTAATTACGGACATACATTTGGGTGACAGCTCGGCCAGTGAAGAGGAAGAAGGCGACGACGATACAGAAGATGATGGTGATGATGAAGACGATGAGGATGTTGACGATGACGATGTCAACGATGAGGGCGGTACGGAGAGTGGCGAGGATGCTAGTGACTCGTCGTCGACAACAACGGCGTCATCTTCCTCCACGAGTGATACGGAACAGAATAGTGTTATCGAGCAGTGCAAGGAGGTTGTGAATGTTTCGAAAACTTAAATATTAGTTATAGCAGAGTTCCAATCCGTATATGTGGTTTTATTTCTTATATATGTATGCATGTATTCCACAAAAGTACATGGTTTATATTTTTTTAAATCAGTTTTAAATTAATACATACATAAGTGAGGCTTATAAATCAAATGGCATTTCCATTGTATATACGTATAAATAAATGCTTTGCATTTTAAATGAACTTGGTAATAAAAGGCTGTATTTCACTTAAAATTAACACAACGTTGCACATAATTTTT